GCTCGCGCCATTCAGTCTTCGTCTGCATGCATCCGTGTCCGTGCGGCAGTCAGTGTGGGTGTGGTTGTCGCTGTGTGTTTTGGCGTGGGTCTGTGTGTGGTTGTGTTTGTGGGTGTATTTGGTTATGAACCATTCCACGGTTTCTCGTGTTTCCTCGAAGGAACACTGACACCACTGGCACATTCGAATGCAATCTGGGACATTTGATCTAAACTGAGCAGATTAACGTAACAAGCGAATCTGAACGTTATCTAATGTTCCCTCATCATTTTGGACGATTGTGTAATTGTTTGCCACTATTATTCTCATCGGTTCTTTTCTCCTAACAGGATTTTTTCCTCTGAGCAGTCAATTTCTTTTCTCCTTCTCTCACGATATCTCCTCTCCTGTTTGTTTTGCTCGGTATTTGGCCAGCTGACTCACACGTTCATCATGTCATCTGCAACGTACCCTCACATTCTTCTTCCGTTCCAGTCCTGCAAACACCCTTGCCATACTCATCCACAAACACAAGCAATATGTTCACGAATGCGTATATGTCCACGCAATCATACACACCCACTTCGACGGTTCCCAGTGAATTCGCCTCCGCTGAACCGACCGTTACAACCACATTGTACGCCATCGCATCCACCTCGGGTAAGTGAGTTTCACTGGGACACACACTACACGTACTTTGCTCGTTGAAGTTCAATGCATTTTAAGCACTCCGCGTTGTGTCACAATCTCACAAGATCCTGGTTGACGTACTTACGATTGCATCACATTGTCTCGCCTTTCCCGCTTGTCTATAGACCACTCATCTGCACTTGCTATTCACTAGTTTGTTGTCCAAATCTGCCCAGATACTTGCTCACATCGGTTCACTGGTTCACTGGTTCATCATTTCACTAGGTACATCTGAGAACGGCGCAGCTTCGGGTAGAATGAGTTGTTTTTGATCATTTACTTCAAATCCAAGCTTTGTACTCTATAATTTCTTCAAATCCTTTTCACGCTTGCAACAAATATAACAAATGGGATCATTACCGGTATCTGCATTGCAATTGCATACCTTTCGCACGATCGAGCTGATGTGGAACGAGTGCATGGAACTGTATGAGGTCCATCGGTCATGCACCCATAACAAAGAAGACAGCCACGAAGCGACTGAAGGAAGACTAAATCTCT